TGATGCTGTCCCTGCACTTATAAGTATTTCCTGTCCCTTATCACCTCAGCTTCCTGAATATCATGCATGACCTTTAACACATTTAGGAACATCTCCTGTTGGTAAGACAATGTGGGTACAGGTTTATACATTTACAAAGGTTAAATACAAGTGAGTAACACATAACAATAACAACTCCACCCACATTTGTAGTTTCAGTTCTCATTTCTTAAGCAGCAGTTCATTAAATCATATATTTTTTTCTATTCCTTTTACAACATCAACGTCCCAGCTGCTCATGTGTGTGAGTGAGTGCCTGCTTTTGAGGAGAACAGAGGTCAGGGTCTCGTGAAGTCAATTGCAGTGTTCTGTTCATTCGAACCAGGCCCAAGGCTTCAGCTGCAGGCTCATTGTTCAACAGGTTTAATTAATAGATGTTAGGAAATAGTGACTTAAACAAAGAATGAATCACCTTTAGATGTTGCTTTTGTGTTTTCAACATATCGGTTGACCTCTAGATGTTATTGCTGTAGTTTAGTTATGATGTGATGAACACATGCATACGGGTTTCAGGGACAGAGAAAGGAAGGGAAGGTCAAAGTGTAACAAAATGCAATCCAGTCACATGACTAAGTCACCCACAGTACCTTCACTACCAACATACACTTTTTCCTCTTCTATCACCACAATCTGCCCCTTTTACAATTCTGTCTGCCCCCTCACACATGCCAGCCTAGAACCGGCCCTGCTCTATACGTACATTTATGTTTACAATGTAGAGACTGAAGAAACTATTTTCTCCTTCACTGTGTGGCAAGGTGGAGAAACAAGGGCCCGGGCGGGATTTGATCCCAAAACTCGCGGGTGAGAGTCACACGCACTAACCAGTGAACCAAAAGGACAAGTAGCTAGGGCGCATGATCAATCAGGATACATTGACAGGACACTCATACTGTCACAACTGGACTTTAGATTTTAGAATTGTAAACTGTTCAGGAGGTTGTACGTCCCTCAGTCCACCTGGACTATAACATGTTGGCCTCACGGGAGCCGGGCTTCAGGATCTGTAAAGTTACAATATGTTTAACAGCTTTTCTGAACCAGGGATAAAACATGGCATAGATCAGAGGGTTTAGACAGGAGTTAAGATAACCAAGAAAGAACAAGAATGATACAAATGTTGTAGTTGTAAAACTATCTATAAAATAAAAGCAGCAGTAATATGGACAGAAACACATCAGAAATACAACAACAAGAACACCCAGTGTTCTGGCTGCTTTTAGCTCTGATTTCTTTGTTTGTTGTTGCGCTGAAAGCTGAAGGGTGACACTTCTATTGTGAGAGTACATGGCACGAGCCTGAGTCACAGCCACCACAAATACTCTCATATACAGAACTATGATGACTGTAACTGGAAATAAAAAGGATATAAACAGATCAAAAGTTCCTACAAAAGAATCAACAGACACTGTACATTCTCCAATGCAGGAATTACTCCTGCCTGGCTCAATCAGCATATCTTTTAAGAAGAAACCTATATAGAAAGCAACACAGCTCCAACAGAGACAAACACAGAATTTCATTCTTGGTAAGGTTATTCTGGTGGGATAATGCAGAGGGTAACAAATAGCCACATAGCGATCAGCTGATATGAGAACAATGGTTCCAGTTGAAGCACTGAGAGAAATAGAGGAAACATAATAGTAAAATAAACATGTGATATTACCGAGTATCCAGCATCTTGTCTTTCTAAAGATTTCAAATGGAATGATTAAAAAGCCAACAAGGAAATCTGACACAGCCAGAGAGAGGATGAGGATGTTAGCAGGTTTCTGGAGCTTCCTACAAAGAAACAGAGAAAGTCAGTCAGTGAGGTTAAAATAACTTATGCAGCGTAGAATCACATTCTGATCAGATAAGAAATTTATCAATTTGATGTTTTTTAATATCTACCTGAAATAGGAGACTGAGATTATGATGAGGAGGTTTAGAACTGCTGTGATCAGAGAGAAGAAGGACAACACAATGTTCAGGAGGACAGCTTCAGACCAGTGAGGTGTTGGCGTCCTGCAGGACCTGTTGAGTTGTGGAAAACAGAACTCAGCTCCAATCTGTATCTCCATCATCAGATGGATACTGCTGTCTGAGCAGAACCCTGTCACACAGATCATTTATACTTTTCCTTCATTACACAATTCTTATTTGTTCTGAGCACTAACATTACTCTTCCCTTGCGGCCAAAAACATCAAGGGAGCCCAAACAGGCCAACAGATTATGTTAGACAGGAGTCACCATGGACCAGTAGCGGCTCATCCATAGGGGGCACTAAGATGCTGCCATCCCTGACTTGAAGGGAACAAAAACAACTAAAAAGTATAAAAACTGAAAATGTATAAAATGGCCACTTGGACTTTACACAGCTGAAACAACAAAGGTCTAACCAGATCTCTTCTACATTTTGCAGGTTAATGCTAAAGGATTGCCATGACATTGCTCATCTTTGCAGATGAAGTAAGTAGTAAGTAAGTAAATTTTATTTATATAGTACCTATCACAGACATAGAATCACAAAGTGCTTCACATTTCCATGGCAAAATCGAAACTTCCGTTGTTTTGTTTGGCTGTGTCAGGTTGGAGGGAATTAAGGTTATTTAAGCGGTTCAGAGTTAATAAAGTGGTAGATATGATGTTTCACAAGGTGCTGCTAGAGTTATGTGAACTCTTACTTCTGATTTTACTATATAAAATATAATAATAATCAACTTCTCCTTCATGTTTGCTCGGAGGGTGTACGGAGCATCCTGTCCGCTCATTGGTCAGTGAATGAAACCTCCGTTGATTGGTCCTCGTCCGAGCGACAGCGACGAAAAGTTGGAAATATTTCAACTTTCTGGGATCACGTCGCTGGGTCGCCTGTGCACGACACGTGCACGAGCGCATAATGTCACACACACGTTTTTCGCGTTTCGCTTGATAGAAGTGAGACCCGCGATTATCGCTTTGCCGCGCATGTCTCATTGAAAATGAATGGAGGAGAGGCGATGCCGCCTCCCGTGTGTCGAGCCCATAAGCTGCTGCTAGGCCCTTCCCAACAGACGCGTAGCAGCAGGGGAGCAGCTGTCACCGACAGAGCACAAAGTCACACGAGTGACTTCGTCAATAAACGCAACAACAAGCAGGAGAAAACTACAACATGGCTCCAAAAGGTTTGTGTTTATGTTCTGTCCGTTTTATAATCACGAATACGGACCTGAAAAACAAAGGAGACCGTTAGCTAGGTGATAACTTCTCACAGGGCCGCACAGTTAGTAACTATTTTTTAAAGTAAAGCAACCGGAAGGCAGTATGTTTCTTTATTCTGAAAATCACGGGAGCTTCGCTCCGTTTCCGTTTCCGCATCCGATTTCCTGTCTTTCCTTCCCCAAAAATGTCGAACTTGACCCGTTTCAGAGGCGTTGCGCGTAGAAAATAGAACTTGCGCGTTAAAGGGCCGCGACATGCTGCTCCTGAGCCGACTCGTGCTGCTGACGGCTCCGGTGGAAAAGGTTCTGTTGACCACAGCGGTTCCAATCAGCAGTTATGACGTGCTGCTGCAGTAACGTGCTGCTGACGGTGTCAGGACTCAGGTATCTCCCGGCTGACCTTCGGACCACAACTCCCAACATGCCCCTCGTGGGGAGCTCCCAGCGTGCTCCTCGCGGGGATTCCCTCCACGTCACAGCCAAGCAAGGCTATATATGGAAGACGCCGTGACCGGCTTCTCATCTCAGTCATCGTTTCTTCCTCACAGAGATACGACCAGAGAAATAATAAAACTGTTAAACGTCTCACCTTGTTCGTCTCCTTCATCCAGTCTGATCAGCCTGACAGGATGACTGAGAACCGAGTAGATTCGACGGAGATCGATCGTCTCCGCCACGAGAACGTGCAGCTGCGTTCCATGGTAGATCAGCTCAACACCAAGGTGAACTCCTTGTCCGACCACACCCTGCGTCTATCCACGGCTCTCAAGGCTCTCCAACAACAGGCAAACGATCAGCAGCAACAGATCGCTGCACTCCAGCAGCCAACCCGCTCTGCTCCTAGGGAGGAGCTCCACTTCAGCCTGCCGGAGAGGTGGAACGGGGAGACGGGGAGCCCCGATGGTCTGCTCGCCACGCTGGACATGCAGTTCGAGTGCCAACCTGGACGCTACCCATCTGCACGCTCCCGAGTGGCACATCTCACCTCCCTGCTCTCCGGACGCGCCGCGGAGTGGGCTGCTGCGCTTTACAATTCCAAATCCCCTGCCTGCAACGACTATGCTGCGTTTGTGTCCGCTCTCCGGAAGACCTTTGTTCCCCCCAGCAGCGAAGTGGGAGCAGAGACACGCCTTCTCAAACTCCGCCAGCGAGAACGCTCGGTGTGCGCTTATGCGTCGGAGTTTCACACCATCTCCGCCAAGCTGCAGTGGAATGACTCTGCTCTGCGGGCCGCCTTCCTGGAGGGGCTGGCACCCTACATCCGTGATGAGTTGGCGGGAAGGGAGCTGCCTCAGACCCTGGATGAGGTGGTTGATCTGGCGCTGCGCATCGACCAGCGGGTTCTGGTTCGACCCAAGTTATCCACGCGTCCACCCAGGACGCCGGTACCTCGCCCTCGTTCACCCACGCCAGCTCCTGTACCCATGCTGGCGGAGGAGCCCATGCAGCTCGGCCACCTTCCCCCCGAGGAGAGACAACGACGGTGGCGCGAGGGCCTCTGTGCCTACTGTGGCTCTCCCGACCACCGACGCCTGGACTGCCCGCTACGATCGGGAAACGGGGGGCCCCACTGAGTATTGGGGTCGCTCAGTCTGGGTCTTCTTCTACCCCTGTCGCTACTAACCGTCTCCTTATTCCTGTCACCCTCCTCCATGGTGAGGCCTCACTCCACGTAAACGCATTGGTGGACTCGGGGGCCGCGGACAATTTCATGGACCTAGATCTGGCAAAACGCCTACGGATCCCCCTACAACCCCTGGAGAGAGTTATACCAGTGACCTCGGTGGACGGTAGGCCTCTCCAACCCTACCCAGTCCGAGACCGAACCCAGTCACTCCGTATGATCACCCAAGGCCACCAGGAGACCCTCCATTTCCTGGTCATTTCTGCTCCCTCTTCTCCTCTAATCCTGGGGTTCCCCTGGCTCAGTCTCCACGACCCTCATATTTCCTGGTCCCAGAACCGCCTGCTGGGCTGGGGGACCTCGTGCCAGACCCACCTCGTTCCTCCTCCATCCTCGGCGGGTCTTCCGGACGGGGGCTCCGGCTCCACACCGCCCCACCTGCCGCTGCCCTATCGGGACCTGGCCGCGGTGTTCGACAAGCGGCGCGCCACCTCCCTGCCACTTCACCGGCCATATGATATGGAGATCAAGCTACTACCCGGAACCAGTCCTCCCCGCGGGCGCCTTTTCTCTCTCGCGCCTCCCGAGACCAAAGCGATGGAAGAATACATCGCCAAGGCCCTCCAGCAGGGGTTCATCCGACCCTCCTCCTCTCCGGGTGCCGCTGGCTTCTTCTTCGTGAAGAAAAAGGAAGGCGATCTTCGCCCCTGCATAGACTATCGGGGTCTAAACAAGATCACGGTCAAGGACCGCCATCCTCTGCCGCTCCTCACTACCGCTCTGGATGCCATCTCCCAGGCACGGATCTTTACGAAACTGGATCTCCGGAGCGCCTACAATCTGGTCCGTATAAAGGCCGGGGATGAGTGGAAGACCGCGTTCATAACACCCACCGGCCACTGGGAGTACCTGGTTATGGCCTTCGGACTATGCAATAGCCCTGCTGTGTGTGAACCTATGGTGTGAACCAGTTGTTAATAGCTGGCCTACGACTTTCTGCTTCTCTGTCCTGTTTGCTCCGGTTGAAAGACACCCAAAACCACACCCCCTTCACTTGGTCATGCACACACACAAATTCGCTGTGTGTGTGTGTGTTCATGTGGTTTTTATGCAGTGTCTGTTTATGAATGTTGGCGCCAAAAAGGTCAAGAGGTCATCTACAAAATGTATTGAGTTGAAGCTGAGTTCTTAGGTTGAAAGTGTTTTCTGGCTAGAGTTCGTGTGTTGTTCCAACATCAGCTCCGAAGGAATTTCCTGTTTTGGTCTCTGCCTGCTTCCAGTAAAAGCTGGACGCTTATCTGACTTGCTAAATACTTGATGTGATTCCAAAATGTTCCTGTGTCCCAGACAGGAGGTCTCCACTCACAGTTTCCACAGAGAGATGTGCTACCAAATATGGTCTGGTTCTCGCCTGTTTACTGTTGAATGTTCAAAGGCTGTGAGCTATAAAAAGGGGACCACTCGTGATGGTCTGGGTCTTTTTTCGACTGTCCTGAGATGTGAGCAGATAAATAAAAAGACCACGCTGTCTCGGCTGAAAACTCTCTCTCCGACTCTTTTCTTTAAGAATAACAGAAAATGCCCACACATTGGCACCTCAGATGGGTGAACAGCGAGGACTTTCCGTGGCGTCCCTTGGCTCCTGTCCAGTGGCTGAGGTCCGAACTAAGGGCCCAGGTGAGCATGTTTTTGTTCATTTTTGTGGCCTCTGTCACTGGGCAGTGGTGTCCTCCTGTTCTGATAATACTATAAATATCAGTTGGAGAGGGGATTCATGTCTGACAGTGGTGTAAAATATTCACACCGTGTGAACAGCTGTGTCATTTTGATGACGGACAAATTTTAAGTGTCAAATTAAAAGGTGGGACAGCAAATTAGAATAGAATTTTAACAGCTGCTGGTTCTGAGGGGTCGACACTCTTTAATCCAGTCTGCTGACTCGGTAAGAGCAGAGACCGGGATCTTGAAGAAAAAGCGCTGAAGTTGTGAGAGATGAGCTTTGCCTGTATTTCGGTAATTCCCCGGGGATTGGTAAATTTAATAAGAGTTTGTGGCAAAGTAAAAAAGAAAAAAGAGGCCTGGATAAGAAGTTGAAGTCTTTGCTGAGTTCGGTTTGTCCTCGAGGAGTAACAAATTTGAGAGTGTTGGCAAAGCATGTGAGGCCTGATGACGACGTCGTAGAGTGCAGCACAAAGGCTGTAGAACAGTGTCCGTGAGCTCAGGATTCTGTCGTTGTGTGTGTATGAGGCGCAGCAAGAGGCTGCTTACGGCTCTGGAATGAAAGTGTGTGAATGCGTGAGCACT